AGAGTCCTCTGCTGCTGATGTTCAGGTGTATTTCAGTATGTAGTGTCTCTACTTTAAAGAGTCCTCTCCTGCTGATGTTCAGGTGTATATCAGTATGTAGTGTCTCTACTTTAAAGAGTCCTCTCCTGCTGATGTTCAGGTGTATATCAGTATGTAGTGTCTCTACTTTAAAGAGTCCTCTCCTGCTGATGTTCAGGTGTATATCAGTACGTAGTGTCTCTACTTTAAAGAGTCCTCTCCTGCTGATGTTCAGGTGTATATCAGTATGTAGTGTCTCTACTTTAAAGAGTCCTCTCCTGCTGATGTTCAGGTGTATATCAGTATGTAGTGTCTCTACTTTAAAGAGTCCTCTCCTGCTGATGTTCAGGTGTATATCAGTATGTAGTGTCTCTACTTTAAAGAGTCCTCTCCTGCTGATGTTCAGGTGTATATCAGTATGTAGTGTCTCTACTTTAAAGAGTCATCTCCTGCTGATGTTCAGGTGTATATCAATATGTAGTGTCTCTACTTTAAAGAGTCCTCTCCTGCTGATGTTCAGGTGTATATCAGTATGTAGTGTCTCTACTGGGACATGTCTCCATGCTTTAATGTTCAAAAAGCTCTTTATTTTTCTCATACTGCCTGTGCTGCAGCACCTCTTTTCACCCTCTGTCTAAAACCAGAGCCCAGTCTGCTCTGATTGGTCAACTGCTTAGAGATGTCCCGCCCCTTAGCCTATCACGTACAATGTGTCGGAGAGCTAGCCAATAGGAGCGCAGGTGTTCCATAGTGATGTCATAATGTTCAGGAAGTAAACGAAGGAGTCCAATGGAGGTCTTACAGGCAGCCTTTGCAGACCATCAACATGCACAGAAACCTATAGGAGACACAGGAAAGGGAAAAAAAACCAAAACATAATAGGGCCTCTTTAATGCTTCCATAAATAGTGAAAAATAACATTTTTAATAACACGATTTCACTTTGTGTGATGATGAAGGTGTGAAGTCAAGTTGTAGCTTTTCTTCCTAATGGCTTATCTAGAGCAAAGTATCTGAACAACCTGAGTATTTCAAAAGATTTCATAGAAAAATAACATTTCACAGTCTTTATAACAGAGGAGAGCAGAAACAAATAATACAAATGACATGTTTCCAGAGATTCTGCACCGGCTTACGATTATTATTAATATTATTAATATTATGGAGGATTTTCCAGTAAGGGCAATTTTCTGGCATGAATAAAACGTCCTGCTTTTCTCCCTGGTTGCAGGATTTTCACAGTAATAAAAATCGGCGGTTAGAATAAGGTGGTTTATGTTACCAAGGCAACTGTACGTGGCACGACGGGCACAGCACTCTCTGAACAACGAGGAGTGTTTTTATTCTGACCCCACATTAAAACAATATTAACAGTAGAAATATGCACGCTGAATGCATATTTTTGGCATCCTAATTCACTTCCAGCAGCATATTACAAAACATTCATTCATAAATAGGGCAGGTACAATATATAGATATATATAATATACTCTGTGTTTATATTTCGAGCCATCACGAAAGCTATACCAATTTCACACGATAATCAATATTATGGTGGGTACCTGTTGTATGTAATATATAGATATACTGCATTTATATATAGATTTATCATGTTTTATAACAATAAAGTAGAGTATTTACAATATTTCTCTATAAATATTTACAGAATATAGATTTCACACCTGCAGATAAAAGGGATTTGCATCGTCACGATCAAATATGTATTTATACGGAACAACAGGAAGAGGTCACGTAAAACAGAGGATGTGTTCAAACCATAGACTATTAAATAATAATAATAATGAATAATCATGAAGGTGGAATCTAACTATATCCCGAATTATTTTTATTGCATCCAGGGGTAGAAACATGTTTATTTCTGCTGTAAAGTTGGTAGGGGCGGACTGGCCATTGGGAATACCGGGAGTTTTCCCGTTGGGCCGGTACCGAAGTGGGCCGGTCGGACAATTCACTAGCCCCCCCCCCAATGAACTGCAGTTTGTGGCACTTCCTTATTGGCGTCCCGGCTCTGCCCCAGAGTTTGCCGCTTGGTTCAAACATGTGACGCTGGCTGCGGTCGAATCGTCTTTCCTGTTCAGGAATTACCTGAAATGTCATGTTTGAATATGCAAATGAGGCATTATCTTATTAAATATGTTCCATTTGCATCCATTTCCAGACCAGAAATGTGAACACTGGATAATGCCAGGTTCAAAACACTCGTTTCAATTGGTTGACATTTTAGAGTCAAAGGTTTTTGCAGAGGGGATTCAAGATATCTCTTCAAACTGTTACAAAAAAGTCATTTTTCATTTCATTTTCTGTTTTTAGTAACAAAATGATGTATAAATGAGTGTGTTAAAAGCTTAAAATTAAAGAGAGTAAGGAAAGTGGACAGTTTGGTGTGTGTAAGTGTTACTGAAGTGGAGATTTCTGCAAAGAGGAGGAGAGAAAACGGCCTTTAAAGATCTGGATCGTAAAATTCCTCCATTTTGTTTCACTGCAGGTGAATAGGGTACATTATTTTACTAACAGATATCACCATGAAACTTCCCCACTTCATTACTGACATTAACACAACCATTTTTTATATTACAAGTTTCCTGAAATGTTATGTATAACTATGCTAATGAGGCCTTATGTAATGCTAACCTATGCTAAATCTACAGACACAAAAAGACAAAGTTGGTCAAATAAACTCCTAAATGAGGATTTTGGATGTTCTCTTTCCACTTGTGTAAAAGAAGACATGTTATGGAAGCTAATTAGACCCAAAATGTCAAACTGACCAGTGCATGAAACATATATTTTTAGTGTCTCTTAATGTTTGTACTAATTTTCCATGTGTCATTAATACAATTGCTTTTATATAAAACATCAGTATGCTCATGAAAGTGCAGCGTATGATCTCCTAGCACCGTGTTTGAACTCTCCTTCCACACACTCTTGACCTCATGTCATTTTCTAACAAGATCACACAACATTTTATGGGAAAATACATAATTCATATATTTTTTTGGTTGACTATTCGACCGCAGCCAGTTTCCTCTCAGCCAAGATGGACGTGCTGATGGATGATAGTCTCAGACAGTTTGCATTATTATTGCTCAGTTTCTCCATGAGGTATAAATGTCTTTGCAGTCTTTGTACAGCAGGGGGAGGGGGGGGGGTTACTCTGCAGGAACAGCATGGAGACAGAGAAATACCGTGTTGTCCTGGAAACACCTAGCACATTACTGCAGACGTTATGAAGGGAAAATAATTAAAAAAAACTGAAAAAGATGGTGTGATGTTTATAGGAGTGCTTATTTAACCTGTGTTAAATATCATTTTGTGTTTACAATAGGGCTGCACAATTATTTGTACCTGTTTCTTTGACCAAAATATCAACCTGGGTTTCCTGTTACTGCGTCTAATGAAGCTCAGCGTGAGTTCAATCAGGAAGACCCTCTTTATATCCTGTCATTTACATATTTCCATCTTACTATGCTCACCTCAATCACTCTCTCCTGATTGAACTCTACTTCTTCTGATGTATGCAGGACTTTTGAGACAAATAATGTGAGCTAGGCGTCAATATTGTCTAGGAGGTTACCGTCCATGCTTTTAACATTTTCCGTATCAAACCTCATGAAATAACAACGACAGCACCTAAACTCTTTGAATGCGAGGCCTAATGAAGCAACTTCTGTATTGTAAGTTTACTCGCTTCAATAGAGTGGCCGTGATGACGTTTAGTCGTCTCATTTAGACACATTTACTGACTTATTTAGTCGTAGAACAACGCGTTAACATCTCTTCAGCTTGTGCTAACCACAGACCTTATTTCGGGGCTAACAACCAAAACACAAACCACAACGAGGGAACGGGAGAACAGGCTGACTGTTTCAGGACTCTCTACTCTAAATTGTTGTTATTTACAGGTTGTGAAATCAGCCAGAGGTCAGCTGTAAAAAGGCACAAAGAATATCAGACTGTAGATTATCATAAAGAGTAAATGCTCTCATCCAGAGGGTTCGTCCAGCTGCCGCTCCACGCTCTTCTTCCTGTTAAAAAAGTGAAAGAAGGAGCTCCTCTTGCCTCCCCTCCTCTTCCCCTCTGGGGATGAGCCAGGGTCCGGGCTGCAACCGCGGCCAGAGAGAGGCCCGAGATTGCTCGCCGCGTCCGATAAACTCCCTCCAGACTCAGGACTCCTCCTCCTCTCCTGCTGCTGATCCAGGGTCAGCGAGGAGGAGAGGAAGGAGAACACATTCCTCTGAAACACGGGATCCATCTCCGGCATGGCGTCACGCTCTGCATCCTCCTCCTCTTCCTCCTCCTCCTCCTCCTCCTCTTCCTCCTCTTCCTCCTCTTCCTCCTTCTCCCTCCTCAACCCTCTGTACTCTGCAGACCAGCTCGCCTCCCCCTTCTCCTCCCAGGTGTATTTGGGTGAGGGGAGCTTTTGGTCCGGACTTGGAATCGGTAAGAAAACATCATCTTCACCCTCTGAACTCACTCTCTCCTCCACCTTCTCCTCCACCTTCTCCTCCACCTTCTTCTCTCTCTTCTCCTCCACCTTCTTCTCTCTCTTCTCCTCCACCTTCTTCTCTCTCTTCTCCTCCACCTTCTCCTCCACCTTCTTCTCTCTCTTCTCCTCCTCCTCCTCCTCTTGCTCCTCACCCTCTACCTTCTCCTCACTTGTACTTTTCCTCCGTCTGCTTTTACTCCTCCCTCTCTCCCGCTTCCTCTCCCTCCGTTCATCACTATCATCAAGGTTCCTGAGGTCGTCTCTTGGTAAACTTTGAGACTCTTTATTCTTCCTCCTCCTCCTGCTCCTCCTGTCTTCAGATTCAGGACTCTGTAACTCTCTTCCTCCTCCCTCCGAGTCGTGTCTCCTCCTCCTGCTGCTGCTTGTCCGTCCTCTCTCCTTCTCCAAAGCGCTTGCAGACTTGCTCCTGGGCTTCTTCTTGTGCCTGGAGCTGGCCCTCTTCCTCCTGCTGGAGTTCACTGCAGCCACACCCTGCTGCTGGGGGTGATGCAGGGGGGAGGGGGGGGAGAGCCCGTGCTCACGGCCTGGATGAATGGGTGAGAGAGAGGGGGAGAAAACAGACTGAATATGGAGGTAAAAGAGAGACATGTCTGACAGTAATCAGCTGTGAAATCCACAAAGTCATTCAGTTTTATTGTGAGTGCGTTCGGTCAAATTATGTCACAGTGTAAAGAGGAGATTTCTGGGTCAGCGTAAGAGAATAAAAACTTCATTTGAGACCTTTAAAGATATTTTGAGGTCCAAGTGAAGACACCAGAAGTGATGTGCTTTATTATAATGTCAACTTCAAAACTATATCAGGTTGGAAAAAAGAGCCATTTCTATTGAGAGATATTTTAAATAGGACCTCAATTATGTTTGACGGCCACTTAAAGGTGGGGTAGGTAAGTTTGGAGAAACCAGCTTGAGATCGCTAGAATTTGAAAATACACAGCCGGAAGAAATCTGCCACTTCCTTACAGAGCCCCTCCTCCAACACACACGAACGCGCACATGACCAATGAGGGCACGAGATAAGTTTGTGCACAGATGGAAGGCTGACAGGCAGGTAGGCCATCCAGTTATTTTAGCCGGGCCGGCTAAAATGATTGGTCGTGCTTTTTACAGTACTACAGCTTCCACAGATGACATTTTTTTATGGATTTGTTGTCAAAGCACTTAAGATATTCATTGCTATCGGGATGTTAAGAGCATTCCATGGAATATAACAAAAAGTGTATCTCGAGCCGGTTTCTCAAACTTACCTACCCCACCTTTAAATATTTCTTATAATCCCTAGAATATGTTTAATGGGAACTAAAATATGTGTAATGCATGTATGGGATCTTGCATGTCTATCACCTACAACAGTATCTGTTCCTTTCACTTTTACACGTCTAAATGTAGATGTAATTGTAGTGTCAATCATTTCACAACTTAAAAAGGTGTGACACTCTTCAATGCATCACCAGTCATCATTTATACATTAATAAATGTGCATTTTCCGTTTCATTTAATAAAACAAGGCACATGTATTTTGACAATTTTTTCGACCTGAGATGTTTGATATTCAACAGTCTCATCGGGTACATACCAAACACTAAACAGATATCTTACATAAGGTTTGTTTGTTTGTTTGTTTGTTTATTTTTGCACGTCACTTTAGCAGTGGTGAGTGAGTAAGGGCGTGTAGAGACAGAAAATGGGGGAACTAACAGGAACCATTACCAACCGCGTATTCTCTGTCCGTCCAATCACATAGAAGCAAGGCTCGCCCAGCTTAGAGTTGGTCATACAGAGAGAGAGACTGGAGAGCTCCACTGAGAGAGGAAGAGGAGGAGGAGGAGGAGGAAGGAAGGTAATGTTTGGAGGAGAATGAAAACCAAGCAGGGCCAAATGTAATGTGGGAAAGTGAAATACAAAATGGATCGGATGGAAAGGTTGGAAACACCACAAAGAAAGAGAAGGACAGAAAGTCTGTTAGTCAGAATCAGTCCCACAGGAGAAGAAGAAACACCTGAGATCAAAGCTTCACATGCATACAAACACAAGTGCTCATATCAGATTTTCTCTTCTGAAATGTGAGTATGTGCTTTTTATTTTAAATTTAGTCGAGGTAGTTGTGTATCAATATCCCAAAATATGATTCATGTCAATACAGTTCCATTAAAAGACAATTAATAACCATATAGATTCAACCATGACTCACATATCAGCCTATAATTCTCCCTGTTAACCTCAGTGTGTGTGTGTGTGTGTGTGTGTGTGTGTGTGTGTGTGTGTGTGTGTGTGTGTGTGTGTGTGTGTGTGTGTGTGTGTGTGTTTCTCACCGTAGTCGGGCACGTATCCGTTGCCTCTCTTCAGGATCAGGTGGATGCGATGTCCTCCTCTCCTGATCTGCTCCACAGCCTGACTGTGGGTCATCCCTAAGGTGCTGTCTCCATTAATCTCCACCAGCTGATCGCTCACCTGCACACACACACACACACACACACACACACACACACACACACACACACACACACACACACACACAACGTGCAAAAATGTGGACGGATGGACAAAAGAAGACATTTAAAGACATCAGCTTGATATCAGGGAACTGTGAAGGACATTTTCACTATGTTCTGATATTTTAAAGAGCAACACAATAGGCAGATTGATGCATAGTGACAATAATTATTGGATGCTGTAAATATAAAGGCATAAAAGCAGCTAAAAGACGGCAGAAATGTTTATTTATTCCTCAATTAAATTGTATTCAAAGCAGTTTTATCTGTGCTCATTTGCTCCTGAATGTTCAATGCTTTTGCAGGAAAAGGGAATTTTCTCAGGGATTTTATTGTCTTCAAAAACTGAAAAAAATACAAAAGTAAGTCTCATCTAAAAATGTAATATAATGAAATAAAAAGTAACAAAACAACAGTATACAGGATTGTGTTTCTTAGCATTAGTATAAGTATATATTGTGTTCTTATCCTATCTTTAATCAACATTGACTTCGTCATGTCTGTTTGAAGTTTTTCTGTTAATCATTCAAAAGATAATCTTGTGTATAACTGCACATGCTCACGCACAGAAGTGTAAATAACAACAACAACAACATTGGGATGATAAACACACCTGCATCCTCGTGCTCCTGGAGGCCGGCCCCCCCTCCATCAGCCCCAGGACGTACAGCCCCATGTTGTACTCACTGCCCCCCCGCAGGGAGAAGCCGAAGCCTGAGGAGCCGCGGTCCAAATCCACGCTGTAGTACCTGGAGTCACGCTGTGTGTGTGGGGGGGGGGGGGGGAGAAGAGGGGGGAGATTATAAACAGGAAGTAATTATAATAATAATAAAGCTTTATTTATATAGCACTTTTCATACAACACATGCAGTGCTTTACAAAATGACACATCACAAGTTAAAAATACACTACAAGAAATTCCCCTCATATTATTTGTTAAGAACTTTAAAAGGTGCTTGTAGCAGAATATAACATTTGATCAGGTTCATAGACACAAGGAGGTGAAAGGTATGATAATAGAAATTAAATAAAGCATGTTTTCTCTCTGACAGATGAGACACAAGACAACTGAGTCGATGCGACAATATAAAATATAAAACCCCATGAAACAAAGTGAACATATAGGTAAAACAGAAATACAAATAAAAAGATAATAGTAATTTGTGGGGGAAACTTCTGTAGCAATGGAGAGTCAGGACTCAAAGAGACACGATGGAGAGCTGGAGCTTTGATGTCGAACACTGACGGTTTATTTGGAGTTACGGAGAATTCACAAGACAGGTGGTGTGTCACGAGTTGACACAGCGGTTGCCAAACCAATTCTGAAGAACTCTTTCTGCAGCTCGAGGTTTTAACTAGTTCGGAGTGTAATAATCAACATTCTTTATCAGTGAGACTAAACAAGTATGGACCCTGAATCTAACTAGAGCTCTCGTCCATAGAAAAGAATGTGCGCCAGGGAACCTTCGTCCCTGAACAGTAAACGACCTCATGGCGGCTTGTGCTCTGTCATAGACTGGCAACAACAATGCGCCCAAGCTGCTCCTCCTTAAGAGAGATAGCAGCAGTACCCAAGGCCGTAGACCTGTGCCATGGAAAAGAGACAGTGAGAAGAGAACATGATGAACTGTGTCGAAGGTTGAATACCTAAGCAAATTATTCCCTAACAGTAATAACAATGCCATAACTCTAATAAAGGTTAAACGATTAAGAAAGAGACCAATGTAAAAAGAAATATTGCTATTGAAGCATGTTAGATTAATAAAATAAGACCTATAAAATAAATAAAACATTATAACGGTAGGTAATTAATAAAGACTAAGAGTACATTTAAAGTGGGGGGTTGCTAATAAAAAGCAAATCTAAAAAGATGTGTCTTTAGCTGTCAACCCTTTAAAGGTCACCTATCATGCTATTTTTAGGCAATAGCATAGGTCTCAGATATATACAAATATATAAAAAACATGTCTATGAAGTGTTTTGCTCAAAATACCAAACAGATCACCCATTCTAGCCATGCCTCATATCCCTCTATTTCACTTCCTGTTTCTAAAGTGCTGATTTGGGGTGCAAAGCTTTAAAAAAAAAGAAGGGGTCTGAGCTCATGCGGGACCCGGCAGCTACTGTCTAAACTAAATACTGCCGTGATGAAACGCCATATCATGGATTATCAAGGATTATTTCTGAAACAGTATGGAGCTCAAAGGCTTTCTCTCTTGCCGGTTATACCACAAGGTGAGTTCCTTTTTATTTCCTGCTTCTTCACACACATGCTCTCCAGTACAGGTTAGCTCTGAGTGTTAGCGATGCTAATGTAAACACCGACCATATTACGTCCAAAACAGTCGGGCATTGTTTCTGATAGCAACGTTTCTGATAGGGCCGTGGGTCCACATTTCAGATATTACGTCATATCGGACGCAAATCTGGATTAGCCCCGTTTTTAGAGATTTGGGTACGGAGGAAAAGAGAGAGGGTTTTATTTTCTGACGCTGCGTGAGTTCCCTGACACACCGGGGACACATGTTTATGTATAAAAGACATCAAAATGTGCATTTTGCATGATAGGTCCCCTTTAGAGTCCTGGGCTAATTTGGCCGTTTTCACATACTTTTGATTTGCCTTACTAAACCCCATTAAGAAATGTTTAGCATGTCAATGTTTGGTATCTATCTTTTTAAGACAACCTCACCTATATATAACTGATAGTTATTTTTTACATTTTGACATACTATATGAACATTTTGGACCCAAAATCGCCCAAGAAACTTAAAAACAGATATTATTCGTACTATGGGTAACACAAACATACACAACGAAACATTTTGAAAGCTGGAAATATATACCTGGGGTGTCACTATGATAATGTAAAAGTTTGATGGAGGTAGCATGAACCTACTGTATATACACATGTTATGAACACATAGCAGGTGTATCCAGAGGTGTTAAAGAGGCCATATTAGGATTTCTGGTGCTCTGTTGTGATTGGTCAACCAGCTTAGTGATGTCCCGCCCCTTAGCCTTTCACGTACAATGTGTGGGAGCGCTAGCCAATAGAATCGCAAGTGTTACAAAGTAATGTCACTATGTTCTGGAAGTAAACAAATGAGACCAATGGAGGGTGGTGTGGGAGAGAAACTCCATCTGGAGGAACACAGGGATTTGAGCCTTTGCAGACCATTTACATGCACTAAAACCAAAATAAACAATTCGGAAAACCCCCCAAAAGCCTTACATGGCCTCTTTAATCATGGTGCAGTGCTCACCTTTGGACGCGACCTTTGACCCTTTTTGCTCCTGTGCGCGGGGTCATACTCGGTGGTTTCTGAAACGCTTGAAGAATCTGAAAGTAGAAGATTATTAAAGTGAGATCATGAAGTGTGTATTTGTGTGTTTCAAGTTTCAAGGCTTTTATTGTCATGTGTACATAGCTACAGTACAGTGTAGATATATCAATGACACTCTGAGGTCACAGGCTCCTCCAACAGTGCAACACAATAAAACAGATAAACAATAGTTAAAATAGTGCAAGTAATACAAATAAAATAGAAATAGTGCAAGGAGAGTCTATATACAAGTCATTGGATAGATCATTAGTAAGTTGCAAACAGATGAATGTTATGGATGTTCTTGTGTGTGTGTGTGTGTGTGTGTGTGTGTGTGTGTGTGTGTGTGTGTGTGTGTGTGTGTGTGTGTGTGTGTGTGTGTGTGTGCGTGCGTGTGTGTGTGTGTGTGTGTGTGTGTGTGTGTGTGTGTGTGTGTGTGTGTGTGTGTGTGTGTGTGTGTGTGTGCGTGTGTGTGTGTGTGTGTGTGTGTGTGTGTGTGTGTGTCCTGGTGTTTTTGCTCACAGGTGCTGGGTCGGGGCACGATGGTGAGCCTCAGACTGTTCCCGGCCCTCCGGAGGATCTGAGCGAGCTCCCGGTGGGGCAGCGTGACCACGGAGCGGCCCTCCAGCGCCTCCAGACGGTCCCCCGGGCGGATCTGACCACTCTTCGCCGCCGGGCTGCCGCGACGCACCGTCACAAACCGGTGAGGGAGGAGCGAGGCGGCTGAGGAGAAGAGGGAGAAACAGATGTGAGACTCAAGACGTCTCATACTCAAGATTCTCCTAGGTTTGTTTGTTCTTGGGCAAGTCACTTTTCCCACCAAAAAAAAGGTTGTGCAATTTGACATAAAAATCTGTTTTTTTGTAAGATATTTTTTCAATCTGTAAACATGAACACAATAAGATAAATACACATTTTAAATAACAGCAAATATAGAAAAAAAATATATATATATATTCTAAAATGACTGTATTATTTAATAATGTGCAGAAATGTGCAAAATAGTCTAGGGAGAGAATTGACCAATAGGTATTACAATTAGTTCAAAGGTCCCCTATTATGCAAAATCCACTTCTCCATGGGTGTTTCTCAATCTCGAGTAAAGCTGCTTCAGAGCCACTATTTCAAGCATACTACGTCATCGAGTGGCGCCGAAGTACTGTTCCAATCTCCAGTATACTTGGAAATCTACCGAGCCCGGCGTACTCCGTTTGGAGAAATATCGAGTCTGCACATGAGTAGACTCCGCGGTCTTAAAATCCCCACAATGCTTTGCGCACGGACCAATTTCCCCAAATCTGTGGCGGAAGATGTAAGGCGGGGCCTCTCATATGACGCACACCTGCACACTTGCTAGCCTGTTCCACTCTTTGTTTTCCGAATGCCAGGAAGTATTCTTGACTCGCTTCTGAAGCAAGATGCTCGGCAGACATGAGCTACCAAGCAAGCGTACTCGCGATTGAGAAACACCCACTGTCTCTTCTACATCAACATGTGTCCCCTCTTCTTCATGTCTCTTCTACATCAACATGTGTCCCCTCTTCTTCATGTCTCCTCTACATCAACATGTGTCCCCTCTTCTTCATGTCTCTTCTACATCAACATGTGTCCCCTCTTCCTCATGTCTCTTCTACATCAACATGTGTCCCCTCTTCTTCATGTCTCTTCTACATCAACATGTGTCCCCTCTTCTTCATGTCTCTTCTACATCAACATGTGTCCCCTCTTCTTCATGTCTCTTCTACATCAACATGTGTCCCCTCTTCTTCATGTCTCTTCTACATCAACATGTGTCCCCTCTTCTTCATGTCTCCTCTACATCAACATGTGTCCCCTCTTCTTCATGTCTCTTCTACATCAACATGTGTCCCCTCTTCCTCATGTCTCTTCTACATCAACATGTGTCCCCTCTTCTTCATGTCTCTTCTACATCAACATGTGTCCCCTCTTCTTCATGTCTCCTCTACATCAACATGTGTCCCCTCTTCTTCATGTCTCTTCTACATCAACATGTGTCCCCTCTTCCTCATGTCTCTTCTACATCAACATGTGTCCCCTCTTCTTCATGTCTCTTCTACATCAACATGTGTCCCCTCTTCTTCATGTCTCTTCTACATCAACATGTGTCCCCTCTTCTTCATGTCTCTTCTACATCAACATGTGTCCCCTCTTCTTCATGTCTCTTCTACATCAACATGTGTCCCCTCTTCTTCATGTCTCCTCTACATCAACATGTGTCCCCTCTTCTTCATGTCTCTTCTACATCAACATGTGTCCCCTCTTCCTCATGTCTCTTCTACATCAACATGTGTCCCCTCTTCTTCATGTCTCTTCTACATCAACATGTGTCCCCTCTTCTTCATGTCTCTTCTACATCAACATGTGTCCCCTCTTCTTCATGTCTCTTCTACATCAACATGTGTCCCCTCTTCTTCATGTCTCTTCTACATCAACATGTGTCCTCTCTTCTTCATGTCTCTTCTACATCAACATGTGTCCCCTCTTCTTCATGTCTCTTCTACATCAACATGTGTCCCCTCTTCTTCATGTCTCTTCTACATCAACACGTGTCCCCTCTTCTTCATGTCTCTTCTACATCAACATGTGTCCCCTCTTCTTCATGTCTCTTCTACATCAACATGTGTCCCCTCTTCTCCATGTCTCTTCTACATTAACACGTGTCCCCTCTTCTTCATGTCTCTTCTACATCAACATGTGTCCCCTCTTCTTCATGACTCTTCTACATCAACATGTGTCCCCTCTTCTTCATGTCTCTTCTACATCAACATGTGTCCCCTCTTCTTCGTGTCTCTTCTACATCAACATGTGTCCCCTCTTCTCCATGTCTCTTCTACATCAACACGTGTCCCCTCTTCTTCATGTCTCTTCTACATCAACATGTGTGCCCTCTTCTTCATGTCTCTTCTACATCAACATGTGTCCCCTCTTCTTCATGTCTCTTCTACATCAACATGTGTCCCCTCTTCTTCATGTCTCTTCTACATCAACATGTGTCCCCTCTTTTTCATGTCTCTTCTACATCAACATGTGTCCCCTCTTCTTCATGTCTCTTCTACATCAACATGTGTCCCCTCTTCCTCATGTCTCTTCTACATCAACATGTGTCCCCTCTTCTTCATGTCTCTTCTACATCAACATGTGTCCCCTCTTCTCCATGTCTCTTCTACATTAACACGTGTCCCCTCTTCTTCATGTCTCTTCTACATCAACATGTGTCCCCTCTTCTTCATGACTCTTCTACATCAACATGTGTCCCCTCTTCTTCATGTCTCTTCTACATCAACATGTGTCCCCTCTTCTCCATGTCTCTTCTACATCAACATGTGTCCCCTCTTCTTCATGTCTCTTCTACATCAACATGTGTCCCCTCTTCTCCATGTCTCTTCTACATTAACACGTGTCCCCTCTTCTTCATGTCTCTTCTACATCAACATGTGTCCCCTCTTCTTCATGACTCTTCTACATTAACACGTGTCCCCTCTTCTTCATGTCTCTTCTACATCAACATGTGTCCCCTCTTCCTCATGTCTCTTCTACATCAACATGTGTCCCCTCTTCTTCATGTCTCTTCTACATCAACATGTGTCCCCTCTTCTTCATGTCTCTTCTACATCAACATGTGTCCCCTCTTCTTCATGTCTCTTCTACATCAACATGTGTCCCCTCTTCTTCATGTCTCTTCTACATCAACATGTGTCCCCTCTTCTTCATGTCTCTTCTACATCAACATGTGTCCCCTCTTCTTCATGTCTCTTCTACATCAACATGTGTCCCCTCTTCTTCATGTCTCTTCTTCATCAACATGTGTCCCCTCTTCTTCATGTCTCTTCTACATCAACATGTGTCCCCTCTTCTTCATGTCTCTTCTTCATCAACATGTGTCCCCTCTTCTTCATGTCTCTTCTACATCAACATGTGTCCCCTCTTCTTCATGTCTCTTCTTCATCAACATGTGTCCCCTCTGTGTAAAGAGACTCTGAAAGTTTCAGGAAGAAAGATTCTCTCTCTTTTTGTCCTGATCCATTTTTATAAAAACCTGTCTGAAAATGAGCTGATCAGATTGTGGCCACTTTGTCATAACGATGTTTTGGCTTGTGTAACCATTAGCCAATCACCAACCAAGGTAACCCCCCCCCCCCCCCCCCCCACACCTTATCACCTGAATCTCCTCCTAGAGCACCATTGTGTTCTTTGTAACCAAATCTCTCTCAGAGGGGCGTGGGGAGGGGCTCCTTATTTTCATCTAAAGTAACAGACAGAGAATCAGCACTTTTGAAACAGGGCTGAAACAGAGGGGATTATGGGTAATGCTACAATGATCTGTTTGGTATTTCGAGCCAAACACTTCAGAGACATGTTCTGTATATATCTGAGACCTATAATATATTGATGAAAAACAGTATAATATGGGACCTTTAATATGTATTATAATTATTAATGGTTAGTAAAATAAATGTAATAAAAAAATAAAATAAAAATTTTACAAAAAAATTCCATCACTATCACTTTTAAATACTGAAATACTGAAAACCAGATATTAATATGCATGAAAAAAGATCATTTCTTTCTGGCTTTATTCCATCACATTCACTTTTAAACTGTGAACCATCAAACACTGACAAAGTCATTTTCTTAAACATTTGTTGTGACAGACAAGTCATCGGAGTCATCAAGTCCCAATCGTGTCTCAAGTCATTTAAAAATATTTTAAGTTAAGTTACCAGACATAAAATCAGAGACTCTTCCGTCATCTCTGCTAAAAATAAATAATTAAGTAGACACTTTAACGGAATAGACAACTCTTAAGTGACTACATTCCCTTAAAGTCACGTTACGGGGGATCTAAACAGTGACCTCCAACCTCTTTAAACGACTTGTTGCTTGAGTTACTTGTAGACGAGCTCATGCTTGAGTTTAAGTTTGAACCAAAACTTTATCCAGCTCCCAAACTTTCCTTTCCACTGAAGCTGGTGAGTAATAAGTGGGGTCAAACACAGACACATCTAAAGCAGGATGATTTACATCACCGCTGTCTTTGCCAGGATTCCTAAAACAAGCCGTAATTAAACTCCGGATGGTTTTTGGCACAGGTTTCTTTCTGAATGTCTTCCAGCAGAAGCCCTCTCTCCACACCTCCCCCTCTTCTCCTTGAAACCATCTCCTCTCCTGCTTCATCTTCCCATCGATCAGACCTGCGCTGACACTCTGATTCTCTCCTTTAATGATTAGTCTTCCTCCAACAGAACAAACATGCAGCAGTTTGCCCGTCCTGGATCTGTCCCACAGAACAGCCGACTCAGATATTCACTCTTCAGGCTAACGACTCTCAGACTAAAGATCCACAAACATGCTGCATTAGTCTGCCTCCCGCATACCAAACACACGTGAAATCACACACACAGCAATATTCCGTTTATTTATGCAGTTTCTTTCTCCTCCGTCGTCTTGTGCCGCATTGATGGATCATCTAATTTATTCTCTATGTGAATCGATTAAGAGCCAAAAGGAAAATCTGGCTTTGCAAGTTTTGCCGAAAATGTCACATTGTTTATTTTCCAGTGAGCAATAATCCCTAAGATTGGCCGATGAGAGTCCGTAATTGTTCATTCTGGGGTCCCTAGTAAAGCCAGCTTTGTATGTCAGCTGATCAGGGTGGGTGGGGGGGGGGGGGAACAATTACTTTTAATTGATCAAGTCAATTG